GGGTGCGAATGGCGGCGCTGCGTATCCATTTTGACTCAATGCTATTCGGATGTCATTTGTGATCGTTTATTTTAGTCGCACTTAAGAAGTAAGTTTACAATCATATAGTCCATTCAATCAACTTCCATTTGATAAATAAATTTTGTTTTACAAAACCAACAATAATATTTTAAATAGTTTTTTCATCCCAACCTCTCACTTCTGGTACCCGGGTGCGAAAAAGTCGCAGCCTATTTTGATGGGAATTCTGCTCTTTAAATTCGATTTAAGTTAAATATCACAATGAAGTAAAAGCCCTCAGATGGTTGTGTCCAGTTAGTTATGTGGTATAAGTGCCAAGGCAAATAGTGTGTGGCTGTGTCCAGTTAGTTATGTGGTATAAGTGCCAAGGCAAATGGTGAGTGGTTGTGTCCAGGTAGTTTATGTGGTATAAGTGCCAAGGCAAATACTGAGTGGTTGTGTCCAGTTAGTTTATGTGATATAAGTGCCAAGGCACATGGTGAGTTGCTGTGCCCAGTTAGTTATGTTGTATAAGTGCCAAGATAAATGGTGAGTGGTTGTGTCCAGTTAGTTATGTGATATAAGTGCCAAAGGAAATAGTGAGTGGTTGTGTCCAGTTAGTTGTATGGTATAAGTGCCAAGGCAAATGGTGAGTGGTTGTGTCCAGGTAGTTATGTGCTATAAGTGCCAAGGCAAATGGTGAGTGGTTGTGTCCAGTTAGTTTATGTGGTATAAGTACCAAGGCAAATAGTGAGTGGTTGTGTCCAGTTAGTTTATGTGATATAAGTGCCAAGGCACATGGTGAGTTGTTGTGTCCAGTTAGTTATGTTGTATAAGTGCCAAGATAAATGGTGAGTGGTTGTGTCCAGTTAGTTATGTGGTATAAGTGCCGAGGTAAATGGTGAGTTGCTGTGTCCAGTTAGTTTATGTGATATCAGTGCCAAGGCAAATAGTGAGTGGTTGTGTACAGTTAGTTATGTGCTATAAGTGCCAAGGCAAATGGTGAGTGGTTGTGTCCAGTTAGTTGATGTTGTATAAGTGCCAAGGCAAATGGTGAGTGGTTGTGTCCAGTTAGTTGATGTTGTATAAGTGCCGAGGCAAGTCGTGAGTGGTTGTCTAGTTGATGTATGTGCTGTAAGTGCCGAAGCAACTGGACAAAAACTCACCATTTGCTTCGGCACTTACAGCATATATTGTTGTCCAGTTAGTTATGTGCTATAAGTGCCAAGGCAAATGGTGAGTGGTTGTGTCCAGTAAGTTATGTTGTATAAGTGCCAAGGCAAATGGTGAGTGGTTGTCCCAAAATATTGTATGTGCTACAAGTGCCGAGGGAAATGGTTTGACCTTCGATGAGGTTTAAAGTAAGATCGGGTTTAATATGCAGATCGAAAAATCGTCCCCTGACGGTTAAAACCACAGAGGACTTGTAGATGTTACATTAACAGGATCACGTATTACTCCATATAAGAGTACACTGCAGAATTAAAATGGAAAAACATTTTTTTTTAAAGCAGATCTGGAGAGTGGGGATGGCGGGAGGGGGGGGGGGGAGTTGCTTCTTTCGCTCTGAGGCATACTACATCCAGAAGTTGACATAGCCTCATTTTCCCTGTTACTTCCTGTCGTTATCATTGACGTCACTTCCGCTAACACCTTCACTTTTATCTATGAAAGCTGTGTGTGTTGCCGAGAAGAGCTACAATGCTCTTTGTGAGTGGCCGGGGAGAGCTACAATGCTCTTTGTGAGTGGCCGGCGAGAGCTACAATGCTCTTTGTGGGTGGCCGGGGAGAGCTACAATGCTCTTTGTGGGTGGCCGGGGAGAGCTACAATACTCTTTGTGGGTGGCCGGGGAGAGCTACAATGCTCTTTGTGGGTGGCCGGGGAGTGCTACAATACTCTTTGTGAGTGGCTGGGAGAGCTACAATGCTCTTTGTGAGTGGCCGGGAGAGCTACAATGCTCTTTGTGGGTGACCGGGGAGAGCTTCAATACTCTTTGTGAGTGGCCGGGAGAGCTACAATGCTCTTTGTGATTGACCGGGAGAGCTACAATGCTCTTTGTGAGTTAGCCGGGGTTGGCTACTGCGTTTTTCGTATTCTTACCTTCTGCTGTTATCGTATTAATAGTTATTGTCAATATTCGTGGAATCATGTGTTCTGTGATTACTTTTTTTTTAATGTTGAATTCGATAACATCGTTATACCAGAATTGCCTCTCTTGCTTGTGTTTGAATCAAGTAAAGCTTGACACAATCGGAGTCACCAATAGACCGTGTCTTTCCCACCACAGCATGGAAGCACCTCAGGTCTCTGCGAAGTGGGGGAGGGCAATCGCCCCTTGGGCGCCAACAGTGCTTTGGATAGGAACTTAATAGTGGGGCGCCAATAGAACTTTGGATAGGAACTTAATAATGGGGCGACAACAGGGCTTTGGATAGAAACTTAATTGTGGGGCGCAAACAGTGCTTTGGATAGGAACTTAATAGTGGCTCTCAAGCAGTGTTTTGGATAGGAACTTAATAGTGGCTCTCAAGCAGTGTTTTGGATAGGAACTTAATATAGGGTGGCCAACAATGCTTAGGATAGAAGCCTAATAGTGAATTACAATCCCACGTAACTCACCAAAAAAACAAGGGGCCCAAAAATCCTATTTGTACTGGTCCACACCATGCGGCACTTTTGTCTATCCCAACGGTCCATCGCGTGGTCCATTCCTAACCTATAGCCATTAGAAAGTGAATGCGTGAATCAGGCGATATAAAGCACTTGGATTGCTAGGAACGGTTCCTCTAGAGTTTGGAGTAAGATTTTATTTTGTACAAACCCTATTCTATTTGTTAAAAGCTACGCCATGACGCTGAGATGTCAAGAAAAAAGTGTGGTATTATAGGACATCGATAATTTTAGAAAAGATAGAAAAGCTATTAAAGGGCAAAGGTGTGTGTGTTTGGTAGGAGAAAATTAATGGAAAAGTCTAAGTGTGTGACGGCGCATTCCTGGCAAAATCTTTTTTTTTTAAATCTGCTAACTCCAGCAACCTCACCATAGTTTCACCATTTTCTTTTTGCATTTATTTAAAACTTGACCTTGAACCCATTGTAAGTGCTCACGTGGCTAAGTTTCTGTTCTCAAAAAAAAAATATATATTTTTTTTTTGTCCAGTAGTTTAAACCGGCCATGTTTTCGAAAGCTTCATTTCATCTCTGCAGCACACAATGTTGTCGTCATGGGGGTGGGGGGGGGGAGGGACTGCTTCCATGGGAGCAATCGACTTAGCGAAATCGACGTGCTCCTCATCTCTCTGTCTCCATCTCTCTCTCTCTTTCTTTCTCACTCACACACACAAACACTTCGTCTATCAATCTCTGCCCTCACATCCCGTGTCCACACGGCAACACCCACTCGCGTTTCCGCCTCCATTTCCACAACTCTGAAAGAGCTTAACCGGCAACAAAAGACCGTGTCATCCACACAATAAATTCTCCCGGCCACCGGAATAAAAAAAAAACCGGTGTCTATTCACACAACCATCCAGTGCCTACTCACACAACTATCCCCGTGTCTACTCATACAACTATCCCCGTGTCTACTCACACTCACTATTGCGGCGAAACATGACAGGTTTTTTTTTCTTTCCACTCTGGGGGAGACGGACAACCATTTACTTATATTTATCGCGCGCTCAAGCACCCATCCACCAATCAAAGCCGACCATTCATCTCTTCTGCGAGTGTAACTGCCGGCCAATGAAAAGCCTGCTTCGTGCAACCCTTCCACAACAAAAACAAGGAAATTGACAAGAAGACACTAACGATTTCAGCAACAAACAAAAAAAAAAGGTGGGGGGGGGGTGGGGAGGTGATAACGGGGCACGAAAGTGGGTCACACAACTTAAATTTTGATGTAGTCATTTACAAATGTCCTCACAAACAAGTCCCAACGTGAGAATAATATTAAGGGAATCTAAAAATTCTTACAATTGTTCCGAACGTGTAGCGTACGCATACAGATGGGGTAGATCAGGTCACTTCGGCAAGATGCGCCTGGAAATCTTAGTAAGGTAAATGGTGAAGAGTTGGCTAACAGACATGAGAACGTAGTAAAGCTACATGGGTACAGAGTTGGTAACAACGCACCAACCAATGTGGGGGTGGGAGTGGGAGTGGGGTGGACGACCTGTGTTTACCTGCTTGGCACGGGCACATTTTAAATAAACAAAATGGACACCATATTGATTTGTTCGAATGTTTGTTGCTTTAAATTGTCTGACATTCCGTGAAATATTGTGTCTCGGGTGGCCTGCGGTGACAGATTGTGTCTCGGGCGGCCTGTCGTGACAGATTGTGTCTCGTGCGGCCTGCCGTGACAGATTGTGTCTCGGGCGGCCTGCCGTGACAGATTGTGTCTCGGGCGGCCTGCCGTGACAGATTGTGTCTCGGGCGGCCTGCCGTGACAGATTGTGTCTCGGGCGGCCTGCCGTGACAGATTGTGTCTCGGGCGGATTGCCGTGACAGATTGTGTCTCGGGCGGCCTGCCGTGACAGATTGTGTCTCGGGCGGCCTGCCGTGACAGATTGTGTCTCGTCCAGCCTGTTAACCTTGATACATAACGATGAAAGTTTTGATGATGGGTTTTAACTATACAAAGGGGACTGAAAGAAACAGAAGTAACAATTGGAAGGTAAGTTCAAACAGGAAGTAGCTGGTTTAAGAACTGTAGTGTGCCGATCATTGGGGTTGTTGCTTGCTTGATGTTTCAAGTTGACAAACAGAAAATTGTGCTACAGAATATTAATGCACTATTGCAAGCAGAGTGCTACAGTCTAACTATAACAGTTACATGGAACGGTCCCTTTCAAATTAAGGCCACGAAGCAATCACAGGTAATCACCATAAAGGTAGCCGTCACTCACAGGTTCATACTCTTGATATTCAACATTAGTCATACAAATGGAATAGGGCTGAAGAAACAGATCATTCGATAGCATCAAAAGACACACATACACACCAAGACTCACCCGTGTGTCGTTGTACGCCATTTTAAGTGTGTACTTCCGGTTGATGCGCGTGTCATTGTTGACGTGATCCAAGGCGATGCGCACCGCCGGGAGGACTCCGCGTCCGACCGAACCGGCCGGAATGTCCTCCGACCACGGGAACAAACCGGCAATGTAGATAACCGGTTTTTCTTCCGGCGGCTGGAGTCTGTCCCCGCCCGTCGTAGAGGAGTGGACGTTGCTGTTGGTGACGTCTGCTGACGCCGGGTCAGTTCGGGCGGCATCGGGCCACGTTGATTCCGTGGGTGTAGGGTCAATGCTGACTTCCGGTGACGGCCGCCCACTTTGTCCTGTATCATCGTAAGGGGTGTGGTCTATTGAATGGGGTGGGGTGTTTGTAGGCGATGCGCTGTCAGTCGATCCAGGGGTAACATCCGGAGTGTTATCATTCGTCGAATGGGAATGGTGCACGGAGGCTGACGTTGTCCCGGGAGTGGGTACTTCAGGGAGGTCAGTTCGGGAAGACGTGGAGCTAAAAGTGACCACTGGATCAGGCCCGCCGAGTTGGTCTATAGACTGGGGATTGGGGATCTCGTAGTCGATATCATCTGCCTCCGGCGGGCGTTTAGGAACAGCCTCATACGATGGCTCGCCTATCTTTTCCCCTTTCCCGAAGTAACTCTGCTCACTCCAAGGCCTTGGGTACGATCGTTCGGCGTCTTGGCTGTCTCCGTCCATGTCACCGTTTGGGTCAGTTTGAGAACCCTCAGCTTGCTCTGTCATGGCAGACAGGACCAGAACAAACACAATACAGCATTTAAGTGTTGTAATCGAGTGGATCCCGGTCAATGGTAAAGGAGATATTGATTTAAAACTCATCCTAATTCTGTTATGACCTAAAAGAGCCGTCTTCGTTAGATTTGCTTTGCGATGCTCTCTAATCCCTTGCTTGGCCATCTCAAATTCAATTTTAACAAAATGTGATTCTACAACATCCCTTTCAACGTCATGTCCCACATCATGTTCAACATTTCCAGGTGGTCCGAATTCATCGTGAAGTAGCGTATCATTTGCCGCGACACGAGATCTGCAGCTGCAGATACCAGAATCTGACATGTCAAGCACCTCGCGTGCAGACGCAGCAGAAGCAGGGATGCTGTTCATGATGTCACGCAACGACTGACATCAATGTGTGTGTGCCGAAGTCAACAAAAACACGTCAGGCACTGATGGGAAGTGACGCAATTCGGATTCAAGCAGGCACCGCCCATGATCTCACGTGGTTTACGGAGAAGAAACTTCCCGCCGACGCCAACATCGGAAATTTCCGCAATCAGTCGTTCGCGATGTACTTTACCATAACTGCTTCTTTAAATCGTGTGGCCACACATTTCTCGTCTCCAAAAAACCAGCATCTCATAGCGTGCTGAACAGATATGAACGAAAATCTGAGGAAAGAAAAACAAAAAACAATATTTATTGCTAAAAAAAATCGGATTTACTATTTTCAATCAATTTGTGTAGAAAACCCCAACCCCGAAAAAATAAAAAAAATATCCATCTTTTCAAAAGTTTTCTTATCAGATTTCTATGCACGTTTTTCTCATCAGTTGTACCGCATACTTCTCCAGGCATGGTCGATTCAATTAAAGGAAACCATTTCTGAAGCGATTGCTATTTTTCTAAATCGTCTTAGATATCAAATAAATTGGGGATTATTTTTTTTAACAAGCGAAATTTTAATGCATACAAATTTTTACTAGGCCCGCCATTTTTGACGGGTAACAGCTAGTATTGAAATCAGTCCGCATGCGTAGATAGCTTAAATGTTCAGCACGATCTGCGCATTTTTTAAAATTTTCGTTTAGGTGGGCACGACAGCCTCGATACGTTTAAGGGAAGTGTTTCATTTGAGCGATTACTGATGTTCTTTTTATACTAATCGATAAATATCTGCTAATATTCTCGGTTCATTTGTTGTTGTTTTTTTTGTGTTTTTTTTGTGTGTTTTTTTTTTTTTTTTTTTTTTTTT